CGTTTTTCAATAGCAATTGTATTATGCAATAAAGTGGTGGAAGTGGTTGGAAAGGGGTTAGCCTTTTGACAAAGAGTTCAGTTATTTTAGGCATTTGAGAGGAACGCCATAAAAAAACATTTCACATATCATCTGGTGTTTCACATCTAGCATTCAATGTGTAATAAAAGGGTTATTTTTGTTGGCTTGAATGCCCTGAGCCAAACGGCACAGACACTAGCGATTCTGATAGCAACAAAAGTTTTCTAAAAAACACTAAAACCTACGAAATCATTAATAAAAGTCTTTTTTATTTGCCCATGATATAATATATTATGCTGTAATTAATTAATGGTTTGATTAATAACTGTTAAAAGCAAAACACGAGTTTAACGGTAGTGCCGGTCGTTCGCCATATTATGAGTGACAAAAGTGACACAAAATATGGATTTCCTTTTGAAACACTCTGTTATATTCCGTAGCAAAGAGTTGATACATAAAAAAGTTTTTTGTAAAAACAAGAAATTATTGGCTCTGAAGTCAAAGGATCCGTATATTGTCTGATATTTATGTTTATTTTACATTCTCTCTCTCTCTCTCTCTCCTCCCGAGAAAAGTTCATTCGAGTCTAACCTAAAAAAATCAAAAGTCAGAGCAGTCTAGACATGACTGAGTGCGAGCACTGGTATGCCTTTAGGGGGCAATGGCTTAAGAGGAGTTAAGAGACGGAATCGATAAAAAACTGATTGCAATAAAGTTTTATNAGAGGAGTTAAGAGACGGAATCGATAAAAAACTGATTGCAATAAAGTTTTATTAGTAAATAATTTACAATTTACTATACTGTATAAGTGCACCGGGAGTCTGCATAGTGGAAGTCCATCTTAAAAACCTGCCCTAAACAATGTCTTAAGGCATACCTAATGAATACCAGTCCTTTACAGCTAATATGACTGAGTGTGTATCACCACCACCTGCTCTGCCAATGATTAGCGCCCACCCATTCACTACCATTTGTCCACTACCTGTCCCTCACATTTGCAGTCCTTTAAAGAATTGTCAACAAACGGACTCTACGTTAAGTAGCCATTCATTGAATAGCCCTTAAAAGGCCCCAATGGCACAGTAGCTAAGAAAATGTGTGGTCATTGGAGGCCAGAGGGACAGCCTTTCAGTAATCTATTATATTCACGAATACCTAATATAATGGAGGTTTTTAAATAGGAATTGGTATATGATATATTGAAATTCAATATAAGATTCCGTGCATTCATATGCATAATATTATACAAGTTATGAATAAATTCTAAAAATACGTTTAATAACTATAATGAAATGGAAAACTATTTTGAAAACTTCAGATCAGAGACTCAAATAATTTATTGGATTAATAGAAAAAGGGTTGGTAAGGGCACTGGTAGTATTGGAAAAGGGTTTGTGGGCCCTCTTGTCAGTCCATAAAGTAATGCTAGGGTTACACGACTGGTGTTATGAGGCCTCTCAATGTATATACAATACGTACGTAACATAAAAATTATGCGTTAATCGAGAAAATATCGAGTGAATAGGTTTTTGTTGGTAAACCTCTCTCTCTCTCTCTCTCTCTTCCCAACTCAATGTATTTTCTCCAGGAAT